TGCAAACCTGTTATGAAGAGTGAGGGGTGGATCTGCCTAAAACACCTAGCACAGTTGTGCAGATGGTCATTTGTGTTTCTCATGAGTGTCTTTTGATCTCAATTTTTTCCCCGGCTTCGATTTGTTGTGAGCGCTGCTGTTGTTCCCTTTTCTTTTCTGTGTCAACAGACTGTAGACAAGCCCACAAAATTCCCACCGTTACTCTTTCTATGTACCCAAAGACACAAATGGAGTGATGCAGCTTAAACCGCAGCAAAATGTCAATCATAAGGTAGGCTCGTCTTCAAGCACGCACTGTTTATAACCCTCTTTGATACTAATGGGGATCTTAAACACATTTATCAAACAATGGTTCGATAGGTCTTTAAATGTAGTCTGAATGTGTGGCGCACTCACTTTGGATAGACGGGCTCATAGAGGTACTTGTCATCCCCTCCACCAAGCACATCAAACAAAAGGATGTAGCCTTTGGCAGTCTGAAAACAGAGAGGGGGGGAAAGTCATTAAAACATCATAAACGTAACTGTTGACAGGAAAAATGAGGAAAAGGTGCGAGACAATAAGATGAGTGCCTTTTCAGACAACAACACAGAAACTATAACAGACTAAGTCTGAAGCCCTTGTCAGCGACAGGTTTCTAATTTAGCACAGATAAAGTCTGACTAAGTAGCCTTTTTGCACATTTCTGTGAGTATATATGGACTTTACACAGTTTCTGCTTGTAATGTCTCACCATAATTTGGCTACAGTAAGAATCGAGCACTGTTGTTGTTGTTGTTGTTGTTACAGTGAAACTGTTTCCATAGCTGGGCGCTCCTTTTCATGTGCCATCAGATCATGTCAATTAATAAAGAACACTTTATGAAGACTAGATAATGGAAGGAACAGAGAAAGAAAAGCCACATCACAGCAGGAGGGTGGAGGAGGAAGCAAGGAAGGGAGGAAGCTTAAAATCACAGAACGGAAAACACTGAAGCTGCAGGTCTGGAACAACAGGTCTGCAATGACAATCACTGCAGAAGTGGATAATTGTGATAAGTTTAAAGGCCTTTTATAATTAACGTTATTATGTTTTTATAATCATAGTGGTTATCTTAAGAAAAATGACGCAACTAGACCATCTGATGTGGTGTTCGCCTTGGGAAGAGTCAATCTGCCAAACCGAAGTATAAGGCCACAAGTATTACCTACACAAACATGCTAGAAAAAAAAAATTTTGATCAGGTTTTTCGGGTATTTAATTAATGCCCAAGTTGTTTTCCATATCTATATTTGTAACACCATCACAGACACAATAGAACAATAAACATCCAACTGCACACATCTGTGCCGCGACCCTTCATGGCACAAGCTTGAACCGTCTCAACTGTTGAGACAGTTCAAAGTTATATAGGCTAAGAAAAAACTGACAATCACAATTTTGTTAGCATTTCAAAGCAGCCCATTTACACCGAAAGCTCTGTACAGCATTTTCTTGTACTTTTTCCACAACACACACGCAAAGAGCTCTGTAGGAAACGGCTGAAACTGAGAGCTTGTGGAATGAAACATGACACGAAACCTGATCTTGACTCCAGTGTCTGCGTTAACGATCCAAGGTTTGCATATAAAGACTGCTGTGGTGCTCGAATATGAACAAACTAAACTTAAATTCTTCTGCTTATGGTCTCCTGAGCTGAGCTCCAGTGTAGGGCAGTATTTTGCTCTGACTATGGCAGTAACCCTTTACGGTTTTACTAGTGTGGTGACAGTGCTGTTACTACAGCTTTAAGAAAAGCCAAGAGGAAGAAGAAAAGGTAATTTCCAGAAACCGACAAAGAGAGCCAGACTGAGGCCTGTTAAAGTCATCAGCAGCCTTGGATCTTGAAAATCTTAGTGATGGGTAAAAATAAGAAAAACTGCAAACCAACAACACTGCAAAATGCATTAACTCTAAAAACAGATCAGAATACAGTAACAAAAAAGGTCTGCTTCATACGCTCACTTCTCAAGACTCACTCACAGAGACCTGAATGTGAAAACTAGAGATTTAAAGTATCATTTACAGGGTTCATTAATTAATGGATAATGTTAAAACCAGAATGTTTCATAGCTTATAACCCATAAAACAACAAATCTGACTTTGACATCAAGCACAGTTTGTGTGCAGACCTGATTAGGTAATCACGGTATGCAAGTTTGATTAATTCTAGAGGATTACCAGCTATTCCTGTGAACTTACTGTGGCATAAGCTCGCCAGTCCTGTGCCTGGATGAGTTAAAAACAGATCCCCTGGCGATGGGATCACAGCAGCCTCATCACAGGTAATTTCTTGACCTTCCTACTTCTGCAGTACTATATTCACTACTTCTTGAGCTGATAATCTGCAAGTCTTCCAACAAGTCCTTCATTTTGATCTCAACTACACAGCTGTAAAGATTCATCTTGCACAGTGGGGATGCTACCACACGGAGAATCCAGACACACAAAACACCTGCCAACGTACTCAAAACCACCACTGTGGTAGTTACCCGTAAAACAGATGTATCTCACGGCACCACATTTACCCTTGAAGACTGATTAAGGAATGAAGTGATGCTGCATTAAACATAACCTTCATAGATTACATTTTCATGTCTAAACAGTATGAGATAATCACCACTAATAAAAGTAAAAAGGCTGCACATGTGCACATGAAATCACCACACAAAGATGTTTACTTGAATCACAAAATACTCTACAAAAATGTAATGAATTGCTGAATCACCTGCACTTCATTTCCCCTCTATCATCATGATCTTCCCTTTAAGAGTGTATCAAGAGTCTAATTTACTGTGTAAGTGAATTAAAGAGAGATGAGTGGGCTTAGAGAATTCTCTGTTAGTCTGCTGAGGAAAATCATTGTGCATTCAGGCTACAGAGACAAAACAGCCTCTTCATCATTTTCATTTTAGCACTATATATAGTTTAGATGAACAGTAGTCTCATTACAATGACCTAGTTAGTTATAATAGCCTCACATGCTTGTGTGATCCACATACAAATACAAGCATTTACAGAGTTCACCCTCCAGCAAAGGATGCACAATTCTTCACATCTACTATTGTAACAGCAGAAAATGTTTGGAATTTGTTAAACCGCTTGAGTTTTCAGCCTTCTGTTAAAGACTATAATTTTATCATCGAGAGCCATAAATTTAAATATAGTTATGTGGCTCAGTTACAAAAACCTTCTGCAGCATTGGGGAAGGCGCAAATTAAGCAGGAATAGAAACGGACAGTGTGGAGGGCAATGAGAAATATGGCACACAGCCAGTTATAACATGGAGTAAACAAACAAGGCTTTCTCCCCCCGAGGAAATTTATAAAAATGGAAATGCGAGGGACACTAGCATGTGAACTGCAGGGAATCTCGCTGAAATATCAAAGATGGGAGGGAAGCTGCAGAAGCAGAAAAACTTGGCAACTCATGATGAACTTCAGTAGTGTCCCCCACTCTTATCATCTCCTCCCTTTAACCTGTAGTTTTGATCACACTAACACATAAAAGCGCTCAGACATCCATTCATGGGCCTTTGATTAGCTTTATTTCAACCTGTCCTATCTGATAAGTGAGCGCTCGTGATGAAAGCAATTGCAGACGAAGGCCTCAATTGGGATGCATCCCGTGTTTCTAGGACTCTTGGTGGGTTCACACATGCACATATAACAGTACAGGAAGAGGCAGGATGCCAGTCATTCTCAGCTGAAACCCAATAAACAAGCAGGCACTGCAATTCAAAGGCAGTCAGTGACCCAGGGCAGGGGAAGTTGCTAGTCACTTTTGTTTTTTCCATCTATGCCGTCTCACTAATAGCAGTCACAAACTCAAGCTGCAGCATTTATGGACAACAGTGAGGCCCTGAAATGTTTTTAAACAGGCCTGTAAAACAGGATGCATCTAAAGAAACCTCAGAGTAACAGGTTTGGTATCCTATTGTGCTCATGTTGTGATCAGTAGAGTCTTATGAAAAAGTGAATCACATGAGAGAAATCTATCATTTATTATCAAATGACTTCAGTGCACTGGTGTGTTGCTTTCACTTTTGTCACTTAAATCGGCCTCTTCTTCAGCTTGATAGCACAACCTGTGACTTAGCATTGTATTTAAAAAAGACAAGAAAAAGAGGAAGATCAGAAAGGACAGACTAAAGGACAAAAAAGTCAAATAAAGAGAGGAAGAAGCCCACTCAAAAACTGAAATGAAAAGTGGGAAATAGCTGACTGCTAAGTGCTCCAGTTCAGTGTTGCAAGCGGAACGAAAGACTTTGAAAGTTGTTGCTGCAAAAGTAACAAGTCAGCAGAAAGAGTGTACACAGAAAGCACGATGAGCTGCTCTTCTGCATGTCTGAACAGGCTCCACAAGTACACAGGAACATAAACTCGAGGGAACACCGCAGCGGATGCAAACTATTACGATCTGCAAATATTAGATACCTTTCAGTTTGGATTACAAACAAGTATAAATAATGCAATAGCAGAGCACAGATGTGTAAAGTTGATCTACAGCTCTTGCGTGTTAAGTCTTACCGAGTGTGGTTTCAAGGTACACACAGATGTTAACAGTCCTAAATGAACCATGGCAAGTCTAGATATCTGAACGGCAATCAGTGTGCTGCTCTTGATGAACAACTACAAGACTGGTGACGATAACAGACCTAAATCGCCATTATTTTCGTGGCAGGTAAGGAAATATGTGCGGTAGGTAAATCTTGTGTATCTCTGAGTTTAACACTCAGAAGAGTAGAAGTGCCAGGTGAACGGAGGCAAAATGGGCGCTGTTTAAATGTGGAAATTCATATTGATTTAATCATTAGCATCGTAAACAGTAAGCACATTTCTTTTTTAATAAACCATTGGAAATAAATCAAAATGCAACATTTCTTTGTGATCAAGGAGTGGCCACAACAAAAAGCAAAATCTGATACAACCTGCAGTCTCAGAACAAAACATGAAGCGGCTGGAAAAGAAACAGTCCATTTCTTTCTGTCACGTTTTGTTTTGAGAGTTTTTTGTGTCAGTGAACACTGACAGCTTGAAAGGAATGCATTTCAATAGGAAGTAGATTTCATGTCAGGAGCAGGTATTTTGTCCAGAGAAAGCGGGTAGGTGTCACCATGGCAACCCAGAAAATAAAGCTTTAAAAGAAGTGGAACCTGATCTTTTTTTTCTAAGCTAAATACTGGCGTGTTTTAGAGTGATACGAACGAACGTCTGTGACGTGCATCACTCAAATCTGGGTCTTCGTGAGTGATGGCAAAATGATTTGCTCCACCTCCACCCTCCAAAAGCCTTTTAAAAGTGGAAAGCATTTCATGTCTATGGACATGAATTTGTACATATAAAAAGAGACAGATGAAAAGTCATGTTCAAGGACACAAATATAAGACTGGAAATTTGTTATGCGGAACATGAATCACTAGATTAAATGTTGTGGCAATTTCATAAACTGTCGTGA